GGCCCTGCTCTGTGTGTGACAGGGTAGAGCCATAACCTCTCCATCAGCCCTGCCCCGAGCGTGACAGTGGTGGTGCCCCAACCCCCCTGATGGGCCCTGCTCTGTGCATGACAGGGGGCAGTGCCCAACCCCCTGATTGGCCCTGCTCTGTGCGTGACAGGGGGTGGCGCCGCAACCTCCCCATCAACCCTGCCTTGAGTGTGACAGGGGGCGGTGCCCCAACCCCCCAATCGGCCCTGCTCTGAGCCCGACCAGGGGCTGCACCTAGGGATTGGGCCTGCCCTCTGCCACCCGGGAGCGGGCCTAAGCCAGCACGTCGTTATCTCCCGAGGGGTCCCAGACTGTGAGAGGGCACAAGTGGGGCTGAGGGACACCCCTCCCCCGCCAGTGCACAAATTTTTGTGCACCGGGCCTCTAGTATATATTATATAAAATATAATGTTTATAGCTGTTTCTGAGGGATCTCTTGCTACAGTTGAATTTCTCATAATAGGCAAATAAAGAATGTATCCCATACCTTGTTTTTTCCTCGGTACCTCATTAATGGGACAGAAAATCATCTCGACACTAGCAATCCAAGCTATCAGGAAAAAAACTAACCAGAGACAAATAACATAGTCCCCCAAGGTTTACGTCAAGAAGTTATTTCATTTGCCCAAGGCTCTTCAATAATGACAAAGTCAAGACTAAATCCATATATCCAGGTTTTTGGCTCAAATATCTTTCTATTGACTACAGTAATAGCATCTCAGTTTCCAACAGTTTATTCCTGTCAACAAAGATTAAAATAGATAACTTGTCTGCTCCCCCTGCTTCAAAACAGCAAGGATGAAGGAAATTATTGCAAGAACATTTAAGGAGGTCATAATACATTCATTCTCTAATGTATACTGGATCCCAGGGAAACTTCTTGGGACATGCCCATCACATGAAGTAACAGATTCATGGGCTACTAACACCAAGGATAATGATAAGTCTTAAATCACTGTGGAGATCACTAAAAGGGGAAATGAAAGCTGCATAGTTGTGAATAGCAGCAGATATTGCCACTAAAGAAGTTACTCAAAGTGTTCTCTTAAAGAAACACACCACCAACAGCTGTTTCTCTTAAGCAGTGGTTCTCAACCTTTAATGTGCATCACAAGGCAAGTAGGGGTTGTTGAAACACAGACTTCTGGGTCCTATCCCCATAGTTTCTGATTCAGCTCTGGGCAGGACCAAAACTTTGCATTTCTAACAAGTTCCCTAGTGATACTAAGCTTATCTGGGGACCACAATTTGAGAACCACTACAGCATCTCATCAAACCATGTACATAGATGAATTAAAGATAGACATTAGAATCCTATATAATAAAAGCATAATATGCAAATTGACCAAAAAGGCAGAACGACAGGTCGGCAGGGGGTCGGGGGGGGGCGGGATGGTGAGCAGGTGACACCAGGCCAGCCAAGGCACGTGCCAGTGGGTAGAGGGAAGGGATAGTGATGGGGGGGGGGGTTGGTAGTGACCAGCTGCAGCG